TACATGTACCTACATACACCATCCATGCTATTCGACCCCAATACATGTACTCACATACACCATCTTGTGATATACGACCCTAATACATGTACTCACATACACCATCATGTGATACGAGCCTAATACATGCACCCTCATACACCATCATGTGATATACGACCCTAATACATGTACTTACATACACCATCTTGTGATATACGACCCTGATACATGTACTCACATACACCATCCTGTGATATTCGACCCTAATACATGTACTCACATACACCATCCTGTGATATACGACCCTAATACATGTACTCACATACACCACCTGTGATATACGACCCTAATACATGTACTTACATACACCATCCTGTGATATACGACGCTAATACATGTACCTACATACACCATCCTGTGATATTCGACCCTAATACATGTACTCACATATACCATGCTGTGATATACGACCCTAATATATGTACTCACATACACCATGCTGTGATATACGACCCTAATACATGTACCCACATACACCATCATGTGATATACGAGCCTAATACATGTACTCACATACACCACCCTCTGATATACGACCCTAATACATGTACCTACATACACCATCCTGTGATATACGATCCTAATACATGTACTCACATACACCATCATGTGATACGAGCCTAATACATGCACCCTCATACACCATCCTGTGATATACGAGCCTAATACATGCACCCACATACACCATCCTGTGACATACGACCCTAATACATGTACCTACATACACCATCCTGTGATATACGACCCTAATACATATACCTACATACACCATCCTGTGATATACGACCCTAATACAGGTACCTACATACACCATCCTGTGATATACGAGCCTAATACATGCACCCACATACACCATCTTGTGACATACGACCCTAATACATGTACTCACATACACCATCCTGTGATATACGACCCTAATACATATACCTACATACACCATCCTGTGATATACGACTCTAATACAGGTACCTACATACACCATCCTGTGATATACGACCCTAATACAGGTACCT